CATGTTAACATTCACATTGATAAGAGTATAAAATTAGCTCGCGCCCCGTGGCTGCCCGAAACTAGCCCACGGCCTGTGGGCGGGCCGGACCCGGCCTGTTGACAATGTAAATATTCACATTGACATATTAACATTCACATTAATAAGAGTGTAAAATTGACTCGCATCCCATGGACGGCCCGGGGCGAGCCCGGTCCGGCCTGTTGACAATGTGAATATTCACATTGGCATATTAACATTCACATTGATAGGAGTGTAAAATTGGTCCGTGGCCCGTGGGCGGCCCGAAGCCCGCCCGCTGCCCAGGGCGGGCCCGGCCCGGCTCGGTGTACATTGTTGTATTTTATTTTGTATTTAGTAAATTTTTATTTTAGAATTTTTATAAATATTTTACCTTTTAAGTATATCTAGATTAGGTTAAAAAAAATTAAAATTAAAATTAAAATTTTCTTTTTCTAAAAACAAAAAAAATACGAAAAACAAAAAAAATTTCAAAACAGTTTAAAAAAACTACACCAAACAGAAATGAGCAGGAATTAGGACCAGAGTCGCATTTACAGTCTTAATAACAAAACTGTTGGGTTGGGTTTCCATCCTATTGGGCGGCCTGGGGTGGCCCGGGTTTGGGTCCGGGCCTACCCCGGGCCGCGGGCGAGCTTCAGGCAACGGACAAGTTTTACACTCCTATCAATGTTAATGTTAACATGTCAATGTGAATATTCACATTGTCACGAGTCGGGCCAAGCCCGCCTCGGGCTGCGATCGGGCTTCGGGCCACCCACGGGCTACGGGCCAATTTTACACTCCTATCAATGTGAATGTTAACATGTCAATGTGAATATTCACATTGCCAACAGGCCGGGCCCGTCCTGGCCCGAGGTCAGGCTTCGGGCTACCCACGGGTCACGGGCCAATTGTACACTCTTATCAATGTAAATGTTAACATGTCAATATGAATATTCACATTGTCAACAGGCCGGGCCGAGCCCACCCCAGGCCGCCCACGGGCCGTGGACGGGTTTCGGGCAGCCACGGTGCGCGGGCTAATTTTACACTCCTATCAATGTGCATGTTAACATGTCAATGTGAATATTCACATTGTCACGGGTCGGGCCAAACCCGTCTCGGGCTACGATCGAGCTTCGGGCAGCCCACGGGCTGCGGACCAATTTTACACTCTTATCAATGTGAATGTTAACATGTCAATGTGAATATTCACATTGTCAACAGGCCGGGCCGGGCCCGCCTTGGGCAGCGGGCGGGCTTTTGGCCGTCCATGGGCCGCGGGCTAATTTTATACTCTTATCAATGTGAATATTCACATTGTCAACGGGCCGAACCAGGCCCGTCCCGGGCCGCCCATGGGCCGCGGGCTGGTTTCGCGCCGCCACGAGATAGGGGCCAATTTTACACTCCTATTAATGTGAATGTTAACATGTCAATGTGAATATTCACATTGTCAACGGGCCGGGCCGGGCCGAGTCGGGCCCGCCCTGGGCTGCTGTCTAGTTTTATACTCTTATAAATGTGAATGTTAACATGTCAATGTGAACATTCACATTGTCAACAGGCCGGGCCGGGCCCGTCCACGGGCCGTGGACGGGTTTCGGGCAGATAAGTTTCTAGTTAGACCACTCATGAAGTTTTATGGACTGAAGGCACGTTGAGTCATATTCAAATAATTGTATAGACTTATGAGACGTAGGTAACATGATCAGTCTTCTATAATTTTTGATAAATATCTAAATTTTTGATAAGTTCAATTAGCGTAGGCCCAATGGCAAGCCCAGCATGTTCGCTCATAAGAGGCGGCCTAATAGCCCGCTCATCATCTCAGCCCACGAGCCCTTCTAGGCCAAGCCTGTTAAGAAAGGCTTAGGCCTAAGGTTCTGGTATGTGGTGCAACCTTGCTTGAGCCCTCCAGAAAAGCCAATTGGGTTTAACCTGCAACGGGCTTCGGTTTCATTTCCAGCACCCAGCTTGACCAGATGCCAAGGGACCGGGCCCGCCTCGGGCCGCCCATGGGCCGCGGGTGGGTTTCGCGCCGCCACGGGACGGGGGCCAATTTTACACTCCTATTAATGTGAATTTTAACATGACAATGTGAATATTCACATTGTCAACGGGCTGGGCCCACCCTGGCTTGCGGGCGGGTTTCGGGCCGCCCACGGGCCAATTTACATTCCTACAAATGTGAATTTTAAAATATGAATGTTCACATCATTAAATTGCTAATCGTTGAAAAAATATTTATAAAGGTATCAAAATTAAATATAAGGGCATAAGTGTCCAAGAAAATAGTGTAAATCAAGAAAATGGACTTTATGGAATAAAATTATAGATACATGGGATTAAAAAATTTCTTCATAGACTTCTTGGGTTAAAACACTTCTAAATTGGACTTATCAATAAAAATCTCATATATATATATAATAGGGATCATGCAGGGGAAAATGAGAAGATTAAGCAATTGGTGCCTGGGATAAGGGTTTATGGTGGTTCAGTTGATAATGTGAAGGGGTTTACTATAATAAATTGGAATATGGTGAGGTGACAAGTTCTATGGTCTCAAACAATTGATTTTGGTTTTTCATTCATATGTGCGGTTTATTGTTGGTTGTGGCAAATTTGTCAAGGGCACAGCAGAGCACGGATCATACATTTGTTGCCAAAGCCAACTCGAGTTTACTGTGGTCATGAGGTGATAATAATATGTATGTTTTTGAGATACTATTGAATTATATTTTTGGTAGTATGGCATTAGTTTTTTTTTCGATTACCATTTTTGGAGGAACAGATACTTGGCTTGTACTACTGTGATAGCTATTCAAGGGCACCTAATCCTATATAATAGCTGTAATTCTTTGTAATCTTACAAAGGACCTGGTTTACCCTCCTATGCTTAATATGCCTCCACCACGGACTATTTTCACATCATAGCGTGTTATGGTGTTAATAAGAAATAAAGGATGAGCATGTTGCAAGGGTAAAATTATTTTCCTTCAAAATATAAGCATTTTTTTGTGCAGACTTGTTCCTTTTTTTTTTTTTCCTTTTCACATCATCGTTTATTTGTTCATTTTTTAACAAGCCCTTAATAAGTTCTCATATGAAAGTCTAAAAGAACAAATCAAAGAATCATTGAAGAACACTACGAGTTGCCTCTTTTGACCTTCAATTTGTACTCAATCCCATACATAGTTATCACCTCCTTTCATCCTAGAAATCAGCAGATTTGGCTTGAAAGAATGCTCTTTATTTAGTGTATTCTATGCACTTCAATTCTTGGAGGCCCTACAATCAACTAAACCATGGTTGGTGGGCCCTGCAATCAGGTCTTTGGACCCCCCAAAAATTAGAGAAACACCTCTTTTATGTAAGGGTTATCTTTCAAAAAATTTTGTAGCCCAAGTAATGGCCCTCAAAAAATTCAATCTAGTCTCCTTTAAAAATGTCATTGGTAAACCTCATGTTGCAAGCCCCCCTCCAATTTACTTGGTTAGTGTGGAATCAATATTAAAATTTAAAAAAAAAAAAAAACTTTTGCTTGACATGGAAAATTATGTGGAATATAGTTTACTTGATTAGGGAAAATGTTGTTTTCATGTACTGGCAGTGAAATTTTGCTAGAGAAAATAGATTGGTCTATTATGTGGATTCCTATAAGTTTCTAGTTAGACCACTCATGAAGTTTTATGGACTGAAGGCACGTTGAGTCATATTCAAATAATTGTATAGACTTATGAGACGTAGGTAACATGATCAGTCTTCTATAATTTTTGATAAATATCTAAATTTTTGATAAGTTCAATTAGCGTAGGCCCAATGGCAAGCCCAGCATGTTCGCTCATAAGAGGCGGCCTAATAGCCCGCTCATCATCTCAGCCCACGAGCCCTTCTAGGCCAAGCCTGTTAAGAAAGGCTTAGGCCTAAGGTTCTGGTATGTGGTGCAACCTTGCTTGAGCCCTCCAGAAAAGCCAATTGGGTTTAACCTGCAATGGGCTTCGGTTTCATTTCCAGCACCCAGCTTGACCAGATGCCAACCCTTAAATGAATGCTCAAAAGTAAACTTTTCTTTTTTTTCTTTGGCATTTGTAGGGTTTTTTTTTTATTTATTTATTCAGAAGATGTCTAGCATTTGTAAGGGTTTTTTTTTTTTTTTTTTTATTACTCCGAAGATGTCTAGGAGTTTCTACAATTTTTCTTTCATTTTTGAATTTTGGTGGTCATAGGTTATACCGAATGCATAAAGCTTTTGCTTATAGTAGTGTCTAAGACAGGTATTAGGTTCCCTCCATTTTTGTGTGGAGAGGCAGCATTCGCTTAATGTCTTTTTAATGAACTCTTATTATTTATTTTTTTAAAAAGTATTTTCTCCTTTTGTATTTGCAAATCATTTGAAAACGCCATTTGCAAAGCAGTTCATGTAATTATTGCACAATCCTAGTCAAGAAACCATAATGGTGGAAAACACAATTATTGTCTTGTGTGGGGTCTTCAGGTAATCGCATGTTGAACTTGTGAATAATCCGATTATCTGACTAATTATAATTAATCGAGTATATTAATTTATTAGAGTTCTCTAACGGTAGATGTGGGTGTTGATTCTTAACCTCACTAGCGACCGGGCACACGCATTTGGAAACTCAATTGATAAAAATTTTAATACATTCTCATTCAATTTGTTTTTTTTATTTTTTATTTATATGTTCAATTGCATAATTTTATTTTTTTCTGAATTTAATATGATATATATACACACATTCTCATATATTTTTACATTATCTCAAATAAAATAAAAATATACTCACAATGATAATATATTTATAAAAAATCTATACAATTATTTTTAATGTTTCGAATCAGTAACAATTGTTTTACATTTCATTACAAAGCAACCTAAATAGCATATCAAATTGTTCAGTAGTATCGTATCAAATTGAATAAACATCAAAACAATTATACCTCATCATGACTTCCGGGCCAAAACAAAACCTCCCATGGATACAACTCTAAAGCGCCATAAACACCTTCACAACCGTCCATCACCAACTCGCCATGGAACCCTAGCCAATGTCGATAACAATGGCAAAGACAAAATCAGTAATTTGTCAGAATCGATTCTCTGTCACATCCTCTCCAAACTCCCCATCATATTCGCCGCCGGCACAACCATCTTATCCACCAAATGGAACAACCTCTTTGCTTCAATCCCCAATCCCACCATCAACATTGACGATTCTCTGCTCTTGAATCCCCACAACAACACCACCAATTCCAATTTCATCAATTTCATGAACCATTTGTTCACAGTCACTCTCAAAGACGTCCCAACTATTCACAAACTCCATCTCCAGTGTCATCACGACTATGGCTATTCCAACATTGATGAATGGGTATCTATTGCTGGGCTTTCGTTGTTCTTCAATGTGAAGAGCACTAATGTGTCAATTCCTGGTCTTTTTGACTCCACAACGCTTGTGGATTTGTTGTTGAGCCAGCACTATGGTTTGAATGTTCCGGATTCGGTTTTTTTTGCCGCAACTTAAGCGCCTTTATTTAGATTATGTTGGATTTGTCGATGGAGAATCGTTCGAGAGGGTTGTTGATGGATGCCCTGTTCTTAAAGAATTGTCTTTGGATGGTGTTGAATTTGAGGAGATTGAACTTCTTCGTATCTCTTCGAGTACGATTAGGTTTTTATTGGCGCACAATTGCTACCAATCTCTCCTTAACCAGATCTGATCTCTCTCTCTCTCTCTCTCTCTCTCTCTCGGTTTCAATAGTTCAAAATAGAATTCGAAGATGTTGAAGCTGATTTAGAACTGCTGTGTAGTTTGGAAACGTGGGGTGGTGGAATTGGTTGGTTTGAATTTATCAGGTTACCCTTAACTATATATTGATAGTAGTGTAAAAATAATATAATTATTTAAGAAATTATGGCCATTTTGGGAAAAATGAAAAAAAAATTCTAAGAGAGGCTTCAGGACACCAAAGTTCCTATTGGCTTTTAATAATAGTATAGATAACCAAACAGAGAACTTAGCTGGAGAGCATGAGACATAACAGATTAAGCCAACACCTTTATGCAAGAGAGTAAGAAATACCACAGTAGCTCGTCCACTCAAGGACACTCTGACGATCAAATCAATCATTTATCTCACAAGATATCAACTCAAATAAACAGTGCACAAGTAAAAGTATACCTTAGACTCACAGAAGTGCCTTATTTTTATATTAATCAACACCTACAGCCGACCTTCCAGACTCTAACAAGGGTGCTGGAGAAGACTATCTCATTGTCTCGGACAGCTAGGAGTTTGCACCAGATGACGAATTGTGCCTCTTTCCATTGCGCAGAAGGGTCTTTAGAGAAGATCAGGGTAAGTACTTAGTTTTCCTAGACTACACACTTTCAACACTGCTTCCTATACTTAGTCGAGTTCTCATGTTTTCTTTCCTCTTTTGTAGAACTTCCTCAACCAAGCAAGTCCTTCCGCAAATCCTACATTGAACGGCAAGACCTCATCCGACTTCTGGAACTACCCCATCAAGGAGCGTAAGGCCCTCATTATCCTCAACTACGTACTGATATACAGATCTCTTCTGCCCGACGTTCCTTCCAGAAGAAAAATGCCCCCTTCTATAACAACATCCTCTCCACGCATAGACCAAGCTTCCACTTCTAAACCAGTGAACCAACTATCAACCTCGACTCCATCTCAGCACATTCCGCCAGCTCAATGCCAGCGTCGTCGCCGACCTTCCGACACCCCGGCAAGAAGGTCTTGTAGCAAAAAATGCCGAGGTATCGATATATCGGTGTACGATCCGCCAACCTACCTTTCGCTCTTCCTACCTTCAGACTTGGCACCGGTGTGACCATCACTACCATCTCAGAAGAGATAGGTCGCAAACCAGCTGTAGCTGATGATCTGCTTGCAAGCTTTTCCAATGTGGTCTTCATCCAACCAATTCAATTCCGACCTTCTGTTCAAAAACCAAAGAGGACGAAAAAGGCCAAGGCAAAGGTCAAAGCAACCATCGCTCCTTCTTTGGTATTAGAGCATATAAGGTTTGAATACTTTGGGTACGTGAGGAGTGGTTATTACCACAACGGGTTTGTCTCGCTTGATAGAGACTTTAGTAGGTACGATGTGCTATTATGATAACATACTTATGTGATTATGTGGGTATGAGATTTAAATTTCTAAGATGTTGATTGAGTCTACAGGTTTCTAGAAGCCCTATTAGAAAAGCACTTGATCACTGCTATTTCTAACTGGAACTTTGGCAACACTGCGGAACGGTCATTATCCGGTAATGAAATTCATATGTGTTTACGTGACTATGTGCTTATGTAGAGTGAATTACTGTTGTCCACTTCTTTAGGACGTGAGTGAGTTGGCTTCGGCACATTTGTAAATGTGCTAATCTATTCTGTTACCTTCATTAGGATGTCAGGATGTGGACGTGGTGGTGGTAGGGGTGGTAGGTCTAGAAGGCATGAGGTGCCTTTACTGGATGAAATTTCGGCACAAGAAGAAGGGGTTGGTCAGGCTAATGTGGCCAAACCAGTTGGTCAACAGGCCATGCGCGCCTTAGCCCACGAAATGGTCGGAGCTTTGAGGGACTCTATGGACATTCTCAGGGCTAAGAATCAAGTCTAGGCCCAAGTAGCTGAGGTAGGGCCATCTTTTCTGAAGCGATAGTTTTTTTGGTCAAATCTGGATGAGTTTGTGGATGATCCCAATGAGCCACTAAAGACAGATGAGTGGCTAGAATAGATAGTGAAGACGTTTGAGGTACTTGGCATCGAGGACGACGGGCTAAGAGTGACCTTGGCATCTTTCCAGTTGAAGGAAGATGCGGGTCAGCGGTGGAAGTATGCACGTGGGTGTATTGGAGTGACTTAGGAGGCCTTTGTTAACGCTTTCTAGGACAAGTTTTTTCCTCCTACTGTTAGAGAAAAGTTGAGGGATCAGTTTTTTCAGCTCAAGTAGTTAAACACACTAGTGGCCAAGTTTGAGGCAGCCTTTACTAGCCTCTCTAGGTTTGCACCAGAGTTAATAGTGACAGAGGAGCACTGTTGCTTGGAGTTTGAGAAGAGGTTAAGGACCAGACTTCTTTTCAAGGTAGTCGGTTTGATGATTAGAGATTATGAGCGACTTGTAGAGTTGGCGATTCATCTTGAGACCATGGTGCAGATAGAGGAAGAGAGGATGAGGGGCTCTAGGAGGAGTCAGGATATTCAGGGGGGCAGTAAGAGGCAGAGGGGTTCTAACCCACAGCCGTCCCAGGGAGCTTAGTCGAGGTCCACTTTTCCAGTACCGAGTTCAGGTTCTGAGAGAGGTGGTCTGGGAGATTTCACTTGTTACAAGTGTGGCCAGCTGGGCCACAAGTCTCCAACTTGCCCGCAGAGAGGAAGAGGGCAACGATCTACATCATCTTCGGCTCGTTCTTAGAGCTAGAGTCAGGAAGAGGGCAGCCGCTCACTTATTATCAGTGTGGGCAGGCAGGGCATATGAAGAGATTTTTCCCTCAATTAGGTGGCACACCCGGTGCGTCTAGTTCGAGACAAACACAAAGCCACCAGCCGACACAGTCAGCACAGGCCTTGACGGCCAATCAGGAAACCTCTTCGGCTCAGTCAGTGCATCAGGCTCATGCTCCGAAGGGTGAACAGGTTGAGTTGAGATCTACAGGGCGTGTGTATGCTGTTACCGCGCTAGATCTAGTGCCAGCGCCTTCGGTAGTGAGAGGTATCTTCTTGTTTTGCAATTCAGTTGCTAATGTGTTAATTGATACGGGTGTATTCCATTCATTTATCTCGTCAACATTTGTATCGGTTTTGGGGTTAGAGTTAGCACACTTAGCATCTCCTATCTATGTAGAATCACCTATTGGTGGTGAGATCATTTTGAAACAGGGGTATCGAGGTTGTGACATAGAGGTTGTTGGTCCTCAACTTCCTTTTGCATTTGTGTTGATTGATATGTCTAGTTTTGATATTATATTAGGTATGGACTGGTTGTCATCATATCGAACTGTTATAGACTGCTACCGTCAGAAGGTTACTGTATATACCCTGAGCAGTGATTGTTTTTATTTCTTAGGAGATCGAGTTGACAGAGTCTTATCATCGGTGTATGATCTGTGCGAGTGGAGTGAGTTTAGTTGCCTTCTTGCTAACTTCTTGGGTGTAGAGGGTGATAAAGTCCGAGTTGAGTTGCCAAGGGTAGTTTGTGAATACTCGGATATTTTTCTGAATGATCTTACTAATTTACCACCTCATCGAGAGATCGAGTTCTCTATTAATTTAGTGTCTGGCACGGCATCGATTTCTATGGCACCATATAGATTTGCACCTGCCGAGTTGTGTGGGTTGAAAATTCAACTCTAGGAATTGTTAGATAAAAGCTTTATTCACCCTAGTACTTCACCTTGGGGAGTACCAATTCTTTTTGCCAAATAGAAAGATGGCGCGTTGCGACTTTGTATAGATTATCGGAAGTTGAACTGGTAAATGTTAAGAACAAGTACCCAATGCCTCATATAGATGATTTGTTTGATCAGTTGAAGGGGTCTTGTTGTTTTTCTAAGATAAACCTGAGATCGGGTTATCACCAGTTGAGAGTGAGGGAGGAGGACATCCCAAAGACAACATTCCATATGCGGTATGGCCATTATGAGTTTCTAGTGATGCCTTTTGGGCTAACCAATGCACTAGCTGTGTTTATGGATTTGATGAATCGGATCTTCCGTGAGTTTCTAGACCATTTTGTGGTCATCTTTGTGGACGACATTTTGATTTACTCACCTTCTGGAGAGAAGCACGAGGAACACTTGTGGGTAGTACTTGAGTTACTTAGAGCCCACAAACTTTATGCTAAGTTTGGAAAATATGAATTCTGGCTCAGAGAGGTTAAGTTCTCAAGCCATGTGGTATTTGAGGAAGGGGTGACTGTAGATTCATCCAAGATAAAGGTAGTATAAGATTGGGAACCACCTAAGAATGCTTTTGAGATCTGTAGTTTCTTGGGATTGGCCGGGTACTATCATAGATTTGTGAAGGATTTCTCTAAGCTAACCTCACCATTGACTAGACTAACGAGCAAATGGATCAAGTTTGTGTGGAGTGAAACTTGTGAGAAGTCTTTTCAAGAGCTTAAGGTTAGACTTACCACTACTCCAGTTTTGATTATTCCGGAGAGAGGTTTGGGCTGTTCGGTGTATTATGATAGCTCACGGGAAGGCTTGGGTTGTGTTTTGATGTAAGAGGGGAAGGTAGTAGTCTATGACTTGCGGCAGTTGAAAACACATGAAAGGAACTACCTTACTCATGACCTAGAGTTAGCGGCGGTGATCTTTGCCTTGAAGATTTGGAGGCATTACTTGTATGGTGAGAAGTTTGAGGTGTTTTTTGATCACAAGAGTTTGAAATATCTATTTACACAAAAAGACTTGAATCTGAGGTAGAGGAGGTGGATGGAGTTCATAGAGGATTATGATTTCGAGTTACATTATCATCCGAGAAAGGTTAATGTGGTGGCCAATGCCTTGAGTAAGAAATCTATTAACAGTATAACTTGTATTACCATTCGGGAATGGGAGATTTTGGGTGTTATTGGGGAGTTTGACTTGCATCTTGTCGAGTCTGTTGAGTCGACAACTTTGTTTTCTGTAGTTGCACAACCTACACTTATGAACCGAGTGATGGAAGCACAGAAGGGTGACCTTGAGGTAGAATCCCTCTAGGAGAAGATCTCCAGTGGAAAGGTAGAAAGAGGTTTGAACGTGTACTCCGACTCAAGTGTTAGATACATTGATCATCTCTTTGTACCGGAGGCTTATCGAGAAGAAGTACTCCTAGAGTTTCGTTATTCATGCCTTGTGGTACATCTGAGAGGCACAAAAATGTATCACGAACTTTATCGCCAGTTTTGATGGAGGGAAATGAAGAAAGACGTGGCCGTGTTTGTGTCAAAATGCCTTATTTGTCAATAAGTGAAGGCTGAGCACCAAAGGCTAGCGGGTTTGTTACAACCCTTGCCTATAGCCGAGTAGAAGTGGGAGTATGTCACGATGGATTTTGTTGTGGGCCTTCCAAGGACTCAACGGGATAGTGATGCCATTTGGGTGGTAGTTGACTAGTTGACTAAGTCGGCGCACTTTATACCCATGAGCGTAAGTGACTCGGTAGATTATCTTGCCGACCTTTACATTCGGGACATAGTGAGGTTGCACGGGGATCCCAGTGACGATTGTTTTGGATTGAGATCTGCGTTTCACGACTCAGTTGTAGCAGAGCCTACAGAGTGCCTTGGGCACGAGATTGACCTTTAGCATTGTCTACTATTCTCAGACTGAAGGGCAGTCAGAGCGTACCATTCAGATTTTAGAGGATATGCTTCAAGGTTATGTCCTTGACTTTAAGGGTTCGTGGGAGAGGCACTTATCCTTAGTGGAATTTGCTTATAATAATAGTTTTCAATTGAGTATTGGCATGGCACCATTTGAGGCTTTGTGTGGTTAACCGTGTAGATCCCCTGTGTGTTGGGTC